AAACTGAGGATAGGCGATAAAGTGACCGCACCGGATAAAGCGTCCGCGGCCAAGGAGACGGAAGCCGGGGCGGAAATTTCGGCTTTGGTTAATTATGTGCAGCCCGTGCACTTCAACAGTTTCGAATCGGCTGAAAGTGCGTGAGGGAAAAAACAATATATTTGAATTGAACAAATGTAATTCACCCCGCAGAGGCGGACAATAAATTCTCACGTCGCTCGTACGGTAAAATTTTTGTCTTGCAGAAAAGAATCGCACGTATGAGATGTCGTCGTTCGACGAGAAACAAGCCACGACTCTCCTGAAGGAGAGGCCGCTGGAATTTGTAAATTACAATAAGCATCAACTGTCTAGGGTCTACCCGGCGGGGACGCGATTCGATTCCAGCAATTTCATGCCCCAAGTATTTTGGAACGCAGGGTGCCAGCTGGTCGCGTTGAATTACCAAACGCTCGGTATGTGACACGTTTTGTTTGATTTATACTACGCGTTGTTATATCATCTATCATTGATAAATCTAATGATCTTTATCGGCGACAGATCTGGCGATGCAACTGAATTTGGGAATATTCGAATACAATCAACGTTGTGGTTACCTGTTGAAACCGGAATTCATGAGAAGGAAGGACCGACGGTTAGATCCCTTCGCCGAATCCACCGTGGACGGCATTATAGCGGGCACGGTTCACATTCACGTGATATCCGCGCAATTTCTGACCGACAAGAGGGTAGGCACGTACGTGGAAGTGGACATGTACGGTTTACCGGCGGATACAGTGCGAAAGAAATTCCGCACAAAAATCGTCCCGAACAACGGCATCAATCCCATCTACGACGAGGAACCGTTTGTATTCAAAAAAGTAAGGCGATAATGCCCAAACGCGTCCGAATTTCGCGTTGAAATGTGCGGTCATTATAACACATGGCTGTTCTCGCATTCTCTCAGGTAGTTTTGCCTGAGTTTGCCTCGATAAGAATAGCCGCGTACGAGGACTCCGGGCGCCTAATCGGTCACAGGGCTACTACCTGTAGTCGGACTATGCCCAGGATACCGACACATCGCGTTAAGAACGGAATGTGGACAACCGCTACCATTGGCGAGTCTGTTTTTACACGTTATCGTGAAGGACTACGTTCCCGACGGGCTCAGCGAGCTTGCGGAGGCTCTGGCGAACCCTATCAAATATCAGAGCGAAGTAGAAAAGAGAGCGGAGCAGTTGTCGGTTCTCACAGACTGTCTGGAAACACCATCAGAGGAAACGAGCGAAGTACGATCTTGAAACATCACCGGGGGCGTGTTTTTTCCCACTTATCCTCGCACTTACTAACAGTTTAATTGTCCCGTTT